TGTTCATATGGCCCCACCTGAATTAAATTGATATAGTGTCCAATCTAATTGTTTGTAATAGTTCAGTACGACACACAGCTTTGAAAATCTGTTAGGAAACTCCACGTTTTGCAACTCTTTGTGTACCTGATATGAGTTACTAGCAATCAAAACACTCTGGTCCCGTTTATATACCTGGTACTAGGCATTGTGTAAGTTGAATTATTTTGAATTTTTCTTTTGCTATTAAAAGAATTCGTTTAATATTCAGTAGTGGAAGAACATTTGGATAGTAGGTCTAGCAGAAAAAGTGGGTGACAGGCCACAATTTATAAAATACAGATTTCAAAAACAGACTTATCCAGTCTCACTGATGCAAGACACAGAGTTGAGAGTGTTTTTGAGAGAGTTTTATCTATTTAAAAACATTTTTTAATAGTTGAGAGAGTTTTATCTATTTAAAAACATTTTTTATGTTGAGTTATTGTGTTTGATGAAAGCGGTAAAGATTTTGTTGTTATTTTGAGTTAATCGTATAACAAAAGCAATACCTTAATTATACCATTAATAAACACATACTTTTTAGCTGAAAAGGATTTATTGGCAAAAACTACAACAATGCAAGGAATACCTTCTTACACACAAAATTAAAAACCCCAACCCAAATGGTGATTTTTCATATTCTAATACTCAGTGGGGGTGACAGAGGCATCAGTGAACACGAATACCCGTGAGAATACATGCGATTATTAGATGAAATACACACTTAGCTTCATCTCAGCAGAATCGAGCCAACTCTCTTCTGTAGCAACCGTAGTTACAACACCTATCAACGATTACGGTAGGGGCGCTTCTCTTTTTCGGGAAATGGAGAGCTGAGCCTGTGTCCTTTAGCTCTGATTGACTATTGTCTTCTGCTTCACTTTGTCGAGTAAGAATATTTTCCTTAAATTCTTCAGAGTTCAGGTCTGAATCCTTGAATGCAGCTTGTAGCTCTCCCAACGGTGACTGCCTCTCCTGTGGCGAAGCAGGATCGGATTCCAACCCATTGAAGGTTTCTGCATCTTTGGTGAGGGTCAATGGCATGATTTCTAAGTTAAATAAAGAGAAGGGGGAGAGGAGAACAAACATTCATGTCAGTGAACCTCAGGAAAAGTATACAATTTTGCATAGACATAAGGAGAGCGTTGCCTCAGCAGAATTAAGCATCAGAACCAGTATCATCAAAGCTCGTGTCCTGACATCTACACAACTCAGCTGATTATAGTTGGGCAGCTTAAAGCACTGCGACCTTACCACGGTTTTGCATTATTCCACCCGGACCCTGTGTCATCTCTCCTTATGTCCACTATGCAAGCTGCATGTGTTCCCCAGGAAGGGAGCCTGTACCTGGGGGAAAGTTTTCATTGCTCCTCACCTGCAAGCGGTCCAGACCTCAGGCGAGGCTCCTTGGGGCTCAGAGCCATCCTATCCCAGTTGAGGTTGCCGCAGAGCCGGATCCAGTATAGGGCTAATTCGGAGCCGCACAGCTTGATGAAGTCCTGTTTCTTCTCCTTGCGCTTCTGG